ATGGTGAGACTTCGTCTCACATACTTTGGACATGTTATCAGGACTTGGAGAAGGATGTCATCCTTGGTAAAGTAGAGGGTCAGTTAAAAAGAGGAAAACCCTCAACAACATGGATTAACACAACCGCTGCAACAATGGGCTCAAGCATAACAACAATTATGAAGATGGCGCAGGACGGGGCAGTGTTTCTTTGTGTTGTACATAGGGTCGCTATGAGTCAGAACCAACTGGATGACACCTAACAACAACAAATTAAAAATTAGTGCTAAAACTGTTGCTAATAAAAAAAACCAACTTTCGTCATCTGTATACCAAATAGATGACAACAAAACCCACCAAAGATATGACTAGAGAAGTAATTTTTTGTGGACAGTATTTTGTTTGTTTGTTTTTTTATTAATGGAGAATAGCAATAACAGAGAAGGTAGAAAATAGAAAGTTCCCATTCAAATTATGTCAAATTCACAGGATCAGACACTAAAAACACTTAAGTCTCCTTTCCGTTTAACTTGAATAAGTCACAGATACAGCACAGTTATCTTCTAAAAAGAAACCATCTAACTCATTAGAATTTCTTATTTTATAAAACTTGAAATAGCCTTAGGAATAATTACACAGGATTTACTAACCTAATGCTCTTTTACTACTTCACTTTCCTATAAAGAGGGGTACAAATATTGCAAAAAAATTCATTTGATTTTTCATCAGACAATGTTTAATCTATCTGGGTAAGTGCCCACTGTATAAAGACTTTCAAAAGCAATGGCAATAATAGCTAATAATAATTACTTGTTTTGTATATACCACTGTTATGGACTGAATTGTGTTCCCCAAAAATGTGTATCAACTTGGCTAGGCCATGATTCCCAGTACTGTGTGGTTGTCCACCATTTTGTGATCTGATGTGATTATCCTAGATGTTGTAAATCTTAACCTCTATGATGTTAAAGAGGCAGGTTTTGAGGCAGTTATATTAATGAGGCAGGATTCAATCTACAGGATTAAGTTGTATCCTGAGTCAATCTCTTTTGAGATACAATAGCAAAAATCAAGCAGAGAGGAGTAGTACCTCATGCCACCAAGAAAGAAGTGCCAGGAGAGGAGCATGTCCTTGCACCTGGTGTGCCTTTGCTGAGTAGCTCCTAGACTGGGGAAGATTGATGACAAAAACCTTCCCCTAGAACTGACAGAAAGAGAAAGCCTTCCCTGGGAGCTTGGGTCCTGAATTTGGACTTCTAGCCTCCTAGACTGTGAGAGAAGAAATTTCTGTTTGTTAAAGCCATCCACTTGTGGTATTTCTGTTATAGCAGCACTAGATAACTAAGACAACGACCAAATCCTGTAGCAGCAACCCTACAGCTATGTACTATTATACCTATTTTACAGATTAGAAAAAGTGAGGCTTTGGGACATTAAGTAACTTGCACAAGGTCAATTGCAAGGATTCAATGCCAAATTTGTCTGATTCTAATGTAATACCACCTGCAAAGCAATATAGACTTCTTTGTCCTCAGTATGGCTACATTCTCTATGTAGCCCTGGCACCCATACACAAAAGCCTTAAGATCGTGTACCAAGGCAAAACTTATTTGTAAACAAAGAAATGAACTTAGCTCAAATTAAAGCATTTGATCACTAATTAATAAGTTCTTATTGAGTACCTACAGCTTGCATAGGCCATATGCTAGGTTCCAGGGTTACACAATTAAAAAGGGCACAGCCTGTCCTCAAGAGTCTTAGAATCTAGTCATAGTGTATAGTGCTGTCCCTGCTGGAACCACAGAGCAGTAGCATCCTCTATGCCCCTGAACTCAGGCCTCTCCTCTCTTCTGGACATCTAGCATCTTGCCTACTTCCCCTGAAAATTCTATGACTATTCAGCTTACATTTAACACTTCCATCTTTTCTGTTTTGGGGCAGTTTTCATATTATTTGGGATTGTTTCTGTGGTTTCGTTCCTTTACCACCACCTATTTCCATATCTGGCAGTCAGCATGATCGTCATCATCCAGATCACCAACAAACTGATCGTCATCATCCAGATCACCAACAAAACCTGGCTTATATGTCCCTCCAGATTCACTGACCCATACATGACCTTCCTCCCTCCCCATGCCCCAGGGCCTCAGCCACTTGCTGAAGGAATAGCCTAGTCACCTACCACAACCTCACTGGGAACACAACCCAGAAATGCAGGGGAGTTAATGCTCTTTGGAATAAACTTGAACCAGTAAGAGCAGGAGACAGGAAGCCTCAATAGATAAATTCCTTATCCTTCCTTCCCCCAAGATTTTAGAGACACAGCACGACATAGCCATGTTTCTCATGAAGTTCAGTTATGCTTTCATCCTTGCCTTGCTTTCCTTTCTTCCCTCACTCTTGCTGCCTGGGAACGTACCACTGCCCATCAAAAGCATTAGCAGTTTTGCCTCAGATGTTCTGTTTTCTAGGAAACCTGGCTTAAGACAGTCACAAAGTTCCCAGGAGTTCTCTTCAGACACTCTTCTCTGGATCAGTGTATCTTCTAAAAAATATATTTTCCCAGAACATTAAAAAAAAACACGTTGCCTTAGAGTTAGTTCCAACTCATAGCGACCGCATAGGATAGAGTGGAACTGCCCCATAGGGTTTCCAAGGCTGTAATCTTTACAGGAGCAGACTGTCACATCTTTCTCTGGTGGAACAGCTGGTGAGCTCAAACCGCCAACCAACCTTTTGGTTAGCAGCCTAGGACTTTAATCACTGTACCACCAGGGCTCCTTCCCAGAACATTAGTGCATCTAAAAGGTAATTATTCTTCAACATCCCTTTCTTCAGACTGTCTGCGGGTACTCCCAATCCAAAAATAAATTTTTGAGTAAAAAATGATCTTATCATAACAAAGCAACTATTGAGAAGACTAAGGCCAAGGCAGTATGTATGCCTGGGTAAGGAACTCCTGTGGCCAACAGAAGGATTCTGGAAAGCTGAGGCCTCAAAAAAAGAGGAATGGAATGCAGGAAGATGAGATGGGAGAATATGAGAAGCAATAATACATGCTTCAAGTGTTATCTACATTTGCAAAACAATAAGTTTCATTAAATCATTTCTTTATTCCCAATAGCTAACTTTCTGAGAGGCTTCTGTAAATTATTTTTAAAACCAGTTCATTACAAAATAGAGATTTATAAAAATTAATTGCTTTGTTGTGGCCTCATTGCCACTTGGAATGCTTCACTGGCCAAGGTCTTCTCAGTCTCCACCAGCTGAAACGAAGAGCAGAGCAGAGAACGAGAGTGCATTTCTAAGGGGGAGAGACAGCCTGTTGGGGGAGACACTGGAGCTATGAACAGTCATTAAATATTTTTGTTGCCACTCACTATATAAATCATCATGTGAATAGAACCAAATGTTAAGCCCCATAAATAATAACTTATGGTCATGACTAGGAGCCAAAGAAGAAATCTGAGAATATATAGATGGTGATTCACTTGCAGGACTCACAAAACACCCATAAGGGCAGACATTTTTTTGAAAAGATAAATCATAAATTGCATCCAATTTGAGATTTCTATACTTATCATAGCCATTCACTGAGAGCATTTATTTAATCACTGATTCATAATCACTGGGAAACCTACTAGATGAAGGGAAACACTTTAAATGGTAGATGGAGGTCAATGGGGAATAACTGGATTATACTGGGCAGTGTAATCATTCTTGTTTTGTATTGCATGTTTCAACTAAAAGTCTTTCTTCTTTGGTACGAAGAATAGCTTAGGTATTTGGAGTATGGCCTCTGGATCCAAACAAAACTGGGTTTGAGTTCTACCTCTGCCACTTACAAACTGTTTGACCTCAGGAAAGTTAAAAAAAAAAAAAAATCAAGTCCGTTGCCGTTAAGTCAATTCCAACTTATGGAGACCCCACAGGGCTGCGTAGAACTGCCCCATAGTGTTTCCAAGAAGTGGCTGGTGGATTCGAACCACTGACATTTTTGGTTAGCAGCTCTCATGGACTGAATTATATCCCCCTCAAAATATCTGTCAACTTGGCTAAGTCATGATTCCCAGTATTGTATGATTGTGTAATCAGATGTGATTTCCTTACCTGTTGCAAACTCTATCACTGTGATGAGGTTATATGTAATCTCCTTATGTGTTGTAAACTCCATCACTATGATGAGGTTATACTGATGACGTCTACAAGACAGGATAGTGTCTTAAGCTAATCTCTTTTGAGATATAAAAGACAGAAGCGAGCAGAGACACATGGGAGCCTCATACCACCAAGAAAGCAGTGCCAGGAGCAAAGCGTGTCCCTTGGACCTGAGGTTCCTGCGCAAAGAAGCTCCTGGACCAAGGGAAGATTGATGACACGGGTCTTCCTCCAGAGCCAATGGAGAAAGTGTTCCCCTGGAGCTGATGCCCTGAATTTGGACCTGTAGCCTACTGGACTGTGAGAGAGTAAACTTCTCTTTGTTAAAGCCAACCACTTGTGGTATTTCTGTTAGAGCAGCGTTAGATGACTAAGACGGCAACCAAACACTTAACCACTTACATGTCATTAAAACTGTTTTCTAATCTGTAAAATGAGGGTTATACAATAGTCAGACAAATGACATAAGGTTGTGAGGATTGTGTGCATTTAAAGTCCTTAGTACAGCACCCAGCACCTGTTAAGTTTTCATTAACTGGTAGCAATTGTTACACAGTAAATACAAATGTTTAGGCATTGGCACCTTTTCCAAAAGGGGCTAGGGAAAGAATAATTAGGTTATAGCCATAGCCAAACAAAAATCTAATCATAGTTAATAAAGAGATTCTCTTTATTAAATTGAGTTTCATTAGTTCTCCCTATATCTTCTGCAACTGTTCATCTTTATGGAAATGAAAATAAAAAGTGAGAAAGTAGTTAAATTAGTTAGATAATTATAAGATGTCTACAGATATAAACTAACTCTACCACTGATAAGTGAGAAGCAGCAGCTTATGGATATGATTGACTCTTCTCATACCAAAAATCTTCAGTTTATGAGTAAAGAAAATACCAATTTAGGGTGTTGCCCAAATCCTCACTGCTAATGTGAGACGAATTTTTGAGCAGGTAAAAGTTGCTCCTAAAGTGACCCTCCTCCTTTGCAGGATGCCTGGGATTTGCAATATGTCCATCCCCATCTTCTCTCCCGTGTACCTCCCCACCCCCCAAAAAAGTCAGAGATGAATCCAGAGAGTGTAACTTAAGTACAGATTAAGGACTTCATCCTAATAGGAAATTTCTGCTCCTTCCCCATCCCACCTGCACCCCTAAGATATAGCCGTCCTTTCATTGGCAAGAGATGCTTAATTAGCACTTGTATCTGCCAAGAACAGTTCCATGCAAGCTTGAACAACTCACAGAGGTGCTATCAATCTCCAGTAGCAGCTACATGGCTCTGTAAACTCCTGCCCAGTACATAACTTGCAAGTTCCTTTTAGCAAATGAGGTGTAGTACTACTGAAACCCTTAATGGATCTTTATTATATGTATTAATCATGACCATTCTTAGAAAATTTTGAGCCCTTCTTCATCTAAAAGACTGCTGCTTGGGGCCAGAGAGCACAGAACACAGTGCCATGTTTCTGTGCTTTCTAGTCTGGGGCTCACGTGCAGAATTCAAATGCTTTATTTCTCCTTAACTTAGTCACAAACAAAAACATTTCCCTGTACTTATTAAAAGAATCTAGTCTCTAAAGAAAGATTACATGGTTTCTCATCCTACCAAGACAGGTCTGGTGCCTCAGTCTGGCTTGTAACTAACGATGCCCAGGCACTAAATTGGTCTTTTATTTCCAGGAAAATTAAGCTTACAAAATATTGTGTAAAAATGAGATCAGGCTCAATGCATACATTTCTCTCCCCAAAATTGAGCACAATCATATGAAATGTAGTTCCATTGTAGGGTTAGGATTAAATTTTCAGTTACTAATTGCAAATGTGAGTGATTCTGTTCTAGGGGTAGGAAGAGGGTAGGATTCAGGTATGCATAGGGCCAAACTTTTTATTTGCTTCTGAAGTAAAATCTTCTTTATAAATAAACATCTGTAATTTTTCTAGGTACTATGTCAGAAGTTAGTCTATATTTTGACATATAATATTGTACTTTTAAAAAACTTCTAACTAATTCATGTATTTCCTACTAATTCATCTAGTATCTTCCAGTGATCATATAAAACACTAATTCTTACCAGGCCTAGTAGCAGTATGCCCAAGAAAATTACTATTAACTTCATTTCTGGGTTAAATAGAATGGAAACAAAGTTGACAGTTACTTAAAAATGCCAATGTTAAAGGCCAAATCAAGGATCGATCTGCCTTGAAGAAAATGCCTTCCAAATACAGCTGGGACCACCCCCTATAGAAGGGTCTGAGCTGCCTGTACAGCTGCCTCCATCTATAGGTTTAAAACCAATAAAAAACCTACCTCCCCAGGAGAGATCCTAACTGTGGCGCCCCTTCCCAATGTTGTCAGCTGTTCTAGTTTCCAAGCATGGCTTTCTTTCAGACAACAGTCACCATTTCTCTTTGCTGTCTTCTGGAACCTGCATTTCCCCTTTTACCTTCCCTGGCCCTCTCCTCACCTGTATGTTTCTCAGCCTCCACTTCAAGCTGGCTCACTCCATGAAGGAACTCTGAAACATATTTATTTCCATGCCCCAGAGGTGTTATGGTTAAGCATTTGGCTGATAACTGAAAGCTCAGCAGTTCAAATCCACCAGCTGCTCCTTGAAAACCCTATGGGACATTTCTACTTTGCTCTATAGGGTCGCTACGAGTCGAAATGGACTGGACAGCAGTGGGTTTTGGGCCTTCCTGGTCGACTCTTCTTACCTTGCCTTTCTATATCTTGATTCTATGAACACCCACCAGCATTCACCTTGATCATCTTGCTTAAGCTTCAGCTCTCTCCACTCTACCATCCCGAATCTACATTCACATCACTGGCTTGGCACTGGGGTCTTACCTGTTCCAGCCCAAGGTCTGACTCCTCCTTGCTGTAATTTAGCACACACACACACACACAAAACCAAACCCGTTGCCATCATGGCAATTCCAACTCATAGCAACCCTATAGGATAGAGTAAAACTGCCCCACAGGGTTTCCAAGGAGTGACTGGTGGATTCGAACTGCTGACCTTTTGGTTAGCAACCAAGCTCTTAACCACTGCACTACCAGGGCTACAATTTAGCACAAGCTTCCCCAAATTTTTAATGAGCATACAAATCCCCAGGGATCTTGTTAAAATGTAGGTTCTGATTCAGTAGGTGTGAGATGGAGCCTGAGACTCTGCATTTCTAACAAGCTTCTAACTAATGCTGATTCTGCTGGTCCCGGGATCACATTTTGAGTATGAGGATTTAGTATCCAAGACAGTGTTGGCACATAGACAAGACACCCTCTAACTTTGTCCACTCTTGAGCCACATACCTCTAGATGTACATGACTCCTTTCTCTTGTATAAAAATATAAGCTTGGGCCTTTACACATTTTGCTCCAGTAATTTCAGTTTTCAAAAAGCACACTCAAAATAGTTCACTGTACCCACAAGCACCCTTCAGTCCCCTAACTTGCTCCAAGATGTGCGGAATCCATCACTGCTGTAGAGGGTAAAAGCCTTTGAAATGGAATTGAATATGGGGTGCTGCCTGGCATATCAATGAATCCAGTAAGGGCTTTTTTTTTTTTCCCCTCTTTTGTAATTTACCGAATTTTTTTTCAAGAGGTAAAAACAGACTAGAAATAAAATACAATTTCCAAGTGCTCCCGCCTTAGCCATTTGCTTCCTGTGTGTATCTTAAAGTGCTGACTGCGTCTGAGCCTCAGTTTCTCCAAACATAAAATAGAAGGATTTTCCACTCAATTCTGTAGAGTAAGATTTACATTCTCTAGTGAAACCCACCATGGAAAGATGCTAAAAAAAAATGTAGTGTTCTTTTGATTATGGATCACATCTGCACCAAGACCAGAAACTTTTTTTTAGCAGAAGAAGGACTTAGTGTTCTCCATTCTCCACATTTTTTTCCCTCTAATGAGGTACGGAACTATGTAGACCATAATGACTGCAGCTTAAAGTGTAGGTTCAGTTCAGTTACTATGTAATCTCATAAATCTCTCTTAGCCGTAAGTAACAGCTAACCTCTACTTCCTCTGATATTCTATTTACCCTATAAATCAGCTCTATTCTTTCACTTCATACAAAGGAAGTTGGGAGCCGGGACCCTCCTAGGAATGTACAGGCAGACAAGCCGCTTGTGTGTGCCCCAGTTCAGGTACCCCCCCTGCAGGTGGGCCACCCTCCAGATACAGGGCATGGAGTTCCATCCATCACCAGAGACGGTTATGCAAGCAGGATCTTGGGAGGAGAGGAAAATATTAAGCTAAAAATCACAGCTGCTTGAACTTCTGTGGCACAACCAGCCAGAATGGAGCACGAAACCACAGAAGTAAATACTTGAGCCAAAACAGTCGTTTGGCACCAAAGAATGTGTCTTACTCTCCAGGTGACTTGGCTTTTAATTAACTTCAATCATACTGGTGCGTGCGCAGACACAATATAAGCAAACATAGAGTTTCCCCTTTGGTGCAGCTTTGCTCCCTCACTGGAGAATTGTTGTAGCTTCAGGAAGGGCTGGGGCTTCCACCTTCTCCAAAGCAAGATGCCCAGCAGGTAGATCCAGTAGCTAGATTGATGGGGTGGGGGGGTTGGGGGTTGATCTCTGTCTCATTTGTCTTCCTCCACTCTCCACACTGCTCCAAGCACAAGACATGGAAAGATATGACATAAGTAGAATTCTAAGAACAACTTTATGCTAACCTATTGTAGAATATACAGAAAACTTTGACTTTAATCTAATGATGGAAGGCAAAATTTCCCCTAATCAGTTTAAAGGTATCTCTTTTGGGCAATAGTATAATATACAGTTCCCTTTAATTTCTCACAGGTCATTTAGCGTCCAATTTCAGAGACTTCAAAGAGAGGTTTAATCACACAGTGAAGAGAAAGGCTTGTAATAAAATGATTTCCATGGCTCCTTCCTGCTGTAACTATGGAGAAATAAAGAGAAAAGATAAAAAAGCAAGGAAACAAATTAAAGGGAATAGTCAAGGTGAAGATGAATAGCATTGGAGGAAAAAGGTGGGTGTAAGGCCAAAGACAAGATAAAATAAGTTTCAAGATCTATGGTACCTAAAGTTTAGATTTGATTTAGATCCAGGACTAACTTGGAGGCTAGACAAAAAGAGATCAAAATTAAAGACTAACAGAAAAAGGAGAAAAGCGATTAATATGCTGTGTTTTAAATTTTAAGTAAACTTTGTCTGTAGTATTCACATCTATTGGATGGTGTGTGTGGGTGTGTGTGTGTGGGTGTGTGTGTTTATAGCCATGATGGTTTAGGAGAAACAAAACCCTAATTTTCCCACAAGCTTGAATCATTGAATCATGCTATTGCTAACTGGATCGTTTCTAAACTGCGCATTTTTCCAAAAAACAAAAACAAACCTATGACTGCACTCCACAAAGAGCATTCCAAATCGCTTGTAGCCTCGTTGTCTCCTGCCAAGATAGGAAAACTGTTCTGCTTGGCCCTCCCACACTAAACCTTGATGATTCACCAGCTCACTCACCTATGCCAACTTCTGTCTATATTTTCTTCATTAAATAATATGCTACAGCATTCTGAGTATACTTCTAAATCCTACTGGAATTTATCTTTCAACTGCCTAGAAATTGAAGAAAGCCTGTATTTTTGCATTATTGAACTGAAATTTGAACCGTTGTGCTTGATCCTACCTTTAAAGGTCACAATTCAATGTTTATTTTATAATCCCAACTTCCTTTGTGTGCTGGCTGATTAAAAGAGGGTTTTATGCTTTTCCTTGGGCTTAAATAAAGTACTCCTCATGTGGTCTTTGTATAGTTTTAAAGCTCTGGAAACAACCCTGTTTCTTTGCAGGAAAGGAGGGAAAATGCTTGTGAAAGCGTAGATAGGGTATGTCTCGCTTCACATCAGTATTCACTCATCCATGTGTCCATTCATTCAACACACCTTTGCTGAGTGTCTATGAAGGTGCCTGACACTGCTGGGGGACAAAAAAAAAATAGGGTGAGTATTGTACTACAGCTATAT